CCCTGACATTATCTTCTTTGAAAAATGATAGATGTCATTTAATGTTTAAAGACAAATTGTTGCGCAACTGTGACTTTTTTGCTGACAACTTTGCCATAAACAAATATGACCAAGAAGTTTCAAAGTAGGTTTGCTAGGTGAGCAAATCTGAATTACAAAGGCGCTCACATTTCCTCAATCACATATACTAAGAGAGACCAAGTGTTGTTTCCAATCTATAATATTAAAGGGCAATTGAGACTGACTCAAACATCTAAAAATGTTAATGTTAACACTGAGGGACATGTCTCCCTTTAGGAAAATCTTCGCTGGCCATTGGGTGTATCACATTTATCACAGGTGATTTTCAAAGGGACAAATATTACTCATTTCAGAAACAGGCTGTGGAATGCAGGAAACTTCCAGAAAGGAACTCAGAATTTGTACCATGGCTGGCCTGGAGAAAAACAGCAGAATCAGATGGAAAAAGGAGGTACATGACTCCCCTCTTGTTGCCAAGGTTCCCATTATCAATTCAGAAGGATTTGAAGAGGGTGTGAAGGAACATTGAAGTTTCTGAGATATTCCTTAAGGACCAGGCTCTAATTTATGGGTTTCTATTTACATCGGATCCCAGCTTTTTATTGAGGGGGGTGTAGGAGGGGATGTGGGCAAGACATATATCTATATATGGCTTGCCCTAAATGATGAAATAAAATTAGGATTGTGTATGCTATGATCTCTCTCTAGGAAGCCTTGAAACTCTTCCTACCAATTGCTGTCTAAGTAAAATATTTATCTTTTTTTTTAGAGGAAGTCTCACTCTGTCGCCCAGGCTGGAGTATAGCAATGATGCACTCTCAGCTCACTATAACCTCTGCCTCCCACGTTCAAGTGATTCTCCTGCCTCAGCCTTCCGAGTAGCTGAGATTACAGGCATATGCCCAGCTAATTTTTTTATTTTTAGTAGAGACAGGTTTCATCATGTTGGTCAGGCTGGTCTTGAACCCCTGACCTCATGAACCACCCCCCTCAGCCTCCCAAAGTGCTGGGATTACAGGCCTGAGCCACTGTGCCCAGCTCTAACTGAAATATTCTTTTGGCTGTCCTTGGAATACTCTCAGGTGATACCCAGCTCAGGCTAACATTTCTACAGGACTGCTACCTTGGTCTCTGGAGAGCCCACTGCTGTTCCAAACCAATACATCTGAGGGTCACTGCCAAGCTTCCAAACAGACCCTTAACATGCAGAAAAAGCAGACACTTTCTATTAGCTATAGTTTTCCTTGAGAAAAATGTGGCACTATGTATCAAAATACAGTTATTAAAGAACATATTCTTGGTGACAATATGTAGAATGTATTGAAGAAAAAAATGCCAAAAACGTTTTATGTCTACTGACATTCCTATTAGTCTCTATTATCATGAAAAGCTGGTCACAACCTAAATATTCAACTTTAGGTGACTGGGTGAAGTAAAACTGTAATCTTTCCATATGATAGAATAATATGCCAGCATGAATAACCAGATAGCAGAATATTTAATGCCACGAAAAAGTATTTTTTTGTGTGGTCCGGTGAGCAGTTCAGATTGCAAAATTAAATGTACCCTATGATCTTATTTTTTTCAAGTATTGATGTCTTTATATGTATAATTAAGTATAGAAAAAAGCCTAGATGCCTTCTCTTGGAAGTCTTTTTCAGTTTTAAAATGGTGTCAGTATTTATTTTTTACTTTTTCCATCAGATTTTCTAGAATAATAAAATTCAATTTCCTCTGATGAGCATTCATTATTCTTTTTTCTTCTTCTTTTTTTTTGAGACAGAATCTCACTCTGTCTCCTGGAGCTGGAGTCTAGTGACCTGATCTCGGCTCACTGCAGCCTCCTCCTCCTGAGTCATTATTCTTACAGTAAGAAAAAGTTAATGTTATTAAATATCTTCTCTGTCCTAGATCAACTGTCTAAGTATATACAAGTTGCCAAATACATTTAATGAATGTTTCATCTATGCATAGATTTTTGCATTACAATTTTTTGTATGATTCCATTGTCTTATATTCTTCACTAATAGTTTTGGTGTGAATTTATACTCTAAAGGAAATGTAATAACCTCACACAACCTCAGGGCTTAAGTGGCTTGAGTACTATTCACACGCTGATGCTTACAGACATGCGCCTCCGGTTGTGTGGTCTCCACTGAGCTCTAATAAATGTTTATTAGATACCCAAGAGGCCGAGAAAAGTATTTTGGGTGAGTGTATGCAGGCAATTTTTGATATTATGGCTGACTTACTTCCATATTCTTTAATATAGGTGCATCCCTATGGTAAGAGATGGCATTTTTATCATGAAAAGGTGGAAAGTGAATTTAATATCTATTATAATTAAAAATAAATTTTATACAACCATTAAGAAGTGATCATCTAAATCTACACATCAGAATCTGAAATCTATTCCTACGCCGACATTTTCTACGGTCCTACGCCTAAATGAACAAGTTCTCACTTACAGAAGTCTGTTCTCTGAATCCTTTCAGAGCTGCCATTGTGGTGGGTGCTGTTAGCCATCCCTTGATACTGACAGTACAATGGCCATCCCTGAGAGGGCACGCGTACATGATCAGTAGTCAAAATTTCAGCAAAGTAAAACATTTCTCTTCATCTCCAGGAGAGCAGTTTATGAAAGAGCATATTCTTAGACATTAAAGGTGAATGTTTCAGTGACACCTGTGCAAGTTATGACTTTCTGCTATTCTCTATAAAAATCTAACTTTTAATCATATAATTCTAGTAGACCTTAAAAGGATAGACCTCAAAGGAAGCATTGTATTTGATATTCTCTCGCAACTCTAGAATGAAAGCAGGAATAATTGGAGATCTGCACACTCCTATAAAGATTAAAGAATGGGACTCAAGTTCACACAGGAGCTAAAAAAGAAAGGGAGGAGGATTTCCCTTTGCCACCTTCAAAAGACTATAGCTTTGAAACCTACAAAACAAGAAATGATTGGAGGTGGGCGGGGATTGCTGAATAGGCAATAAACATGTGAACCCTCCTCTTAAGGGTTTTTATAATCCTTTCTGTTTTTTTTTTTTTTGAGATGGAGTTTTGCTCTTGTTACCCAGGCTGGAGTGCAATGGTGCGATCTCGGCTCACCACCACCTCCGCCTCCTGGGTTCAGGCAATTCTCCTGCTTCAGCCTCCTGAGTAGCTGGGATTACAGGCATGCACCACCATGCCCAGTTAATTTTTTGTATTTTTAGTAGAGACGGGGTTTCACCATGTTGACCAGGATGGTCGCGATCTCTTATAATCCTTTCTATCTTGGGTATCTCTGTATTCCTTTGTGAATGAGTTTTCTTATAACTATGCACTCTTTATGGAAGAGCTCCATCCTTATCATCTGTAACAGGATTTCCGTTTTCATTATGTATACATCTCACCAAAACAATCTGAACAAATGCCCAGTTAATATGTATATTTATGTATTTATAAATTATAAGTGCTATTACACTAATATATTACATATTTTATATACCTTAGTACAACCATAGAAATATAAAAGAATGAGAAGGAATAAATATACACTTAAGGTCTATTTTTACTTCCTGCACCCTCTGTGGAATGCTTACCCCACTTAAGAAAACACCAAGAGTTCACTGTGTTCTCACAGTGAAATTGTACTCACTCCTCAATGAGAGGAGCTGATTAATATTAAAGCTTTTTTGGTTTTCTAATCAAGTATGCACTTGAATTTTCAAATAATCTAGATGTACATATTATACTCCAGTGGATGATATTGTGAAGTACCATCTGGACCAGCTCAGAGGTCCAGAGGCTGGGAGGTTTAACCTATCAGTAGTCATGATATCACTTTTCTCTTAAACTTTTCCATTAGAATTTATTTTTGCTTTAGCCAGCCATGCTGAGCTCTGTTTTCTATACATATCAATGGTAGAGTAAGCATTGCTGCCTCGCAGAGGGAAGAAATCCATGGTATTAGACACCAACCCCCATGTCCTTCTTACATATTCTTTCCCTGAGATATAGGGACTCCTGTGAAATTGGAAACATAAGAACTGGCTCTGCATAAACTTAAGCTTTGTCTTTGCAAAACATTACGAGAAGCCTACTACTGACTCTGGAATATTTTGTATGCAATAAAAACTCTGTACTATTTAGGTATTGTTTCTGACCCACAATACTAGAAATAAGTATTAACTACCCATACAAAGTTTTGCTTAGTAGAAATGAAAATATATTCAAATATAAATTTTTGTAAAATGACTAATAACTAAAAAAAAATAGGCTTTCTTACCCCAAACATCAATAGATGCAGAATGGAGGGCAATATTTACAACATGCAATGTAATGTTGGGTTCTAATTAAGACTATTTCAATGAAATATTATTTTGATAATTATGTTTATCCTTCATATGCCATGTATTAAAAACAGCAATACACACTCACTTGATGAAAAATATGATTGATGATATAACAGAATTATTTCATAAAAACCATTAGGTAGATTATAAGATAACATATAAAAGGTGATATGGGAAATAAATATTAGAAATACATATCATTGATCTATGACCTAACTTGTATTGAAATGCTGTAAAAACCTTCATAGCAACTTTCAGAGAATTACCTGAAAGATAACTCTGGCATCTTCTATGGTCTTATATGCATTTTCCTTAACGTTCACAGTGATTCCCATGTTCAAACTTATTCATTGAAGACAAAGCATATCCTGAGATTCTCATTACTGAAATGCTGAGTCTGAGGCTTGCTTTGCACAGACACAGATTGTCCAACATTAAAATATCACTGCATACTGAATGCATGCAAATGTTATTAAACTAAATATTGCCAAAAGTCCTGATATAAATAATGTATTACGATATTAAATTTGAGGTAGGATTATCTGATAAGATTAACAAATTTGTCAACTACAACGGAGAGTATGCATTTATTATTTAGTATTGAGTATTCCAGCACACACAGGATCAGGACTTACCTGAATGACGTGCTTCAGTTTATCAATAATCTGATTGATCACGGGGTCGGTTCCTTTGACTTTGACTTCAGGATTTCCAGACTGGGCTTTGACTCCATTTCCAACCACACGCAGACTATAACTAGCAAAGGGAAATGTGAGAGACAGATGACTTAGGGCCTGATCAGAGTACTACCTGCCACAGCTATCTGAACACATTTGAGCTCACAATTTCCTCCTTTAGAGAATACACCGATGTCTTTTTTCTTGGAACAGAAACTAGCACAGCTGTAATCTCTGTCCAGGTAAAATCCTAAAATGCTTATTGTGCCATTAGATCATTGTAAAAATATGGACCCAACCAAAAATTACTTGTTTTTTAATACATAACAATAGGCTACATGGAGTTGATATACATCTCACTTTGTTACCAGTTCTTGCTGAATTATATATATGTCTGCACCAATATTGTCTGAGTCAGCTTACTTTATGCAATACCAATCTTATTTTTTAAATTTTAAGCTACCACATATATATATTACATATATGTATATATTATTATATATAATGTAGATATATAATTATTTATATTATATTTCCTAATTAAGTCCTTCAAGTAATAAGTGATTAAACATTTCAATAATGACACTACCAATTGGACATGAAAAAAATAATATTATTAATAAACCTCTTGATTTTTTAAATATCCTTGAACCCATTTCTTTTTGTAGGCATAGAGGGGCTTAGATTTAAGAATTCCAGTATCCATTAGGGATTTGGTGGCATACAGCAATAACAAATAATAGAAGAAAAACAATTATAACTATGTCGTTAATGTGTAATATTATTTTAGAAAAATAACATTATATATATAATTTTCTTAAATTCTCTGTGACACTGTCATGTTATTCTTTACTCTCCCAACATTCCAAGCAGATCGCACATGTGGCACATACATATATATATATATACACACACATACACACACACTATATATATAACTGTATAAGTCAATATCATAAAACATAAGTGTGCAAATTAAAATCACCAAATTTATAAGCTACTAAAATCTGCAAAATATTTTCTAAGTAGAGGAAACAATCCGCTTTCACCTAGGTTCACCTAAACAAAGATCTGATAAATAGTGTGGTATGTAAAAGGATCATTTCACAGGTGGTGAGAGCCATCTGAAATTTCACTACCTTCCCCAAATTACAATCCTATAATGTCAACTTAGAATTAATGAAAATGCTGAAATTTATTAGTCACAAAGATGTCTTAAGTGCATGCTATGTTCCAAGTCCTGTACTAGGTGATTAGGATTATAAGAAGGTGTAAGACTCAATTTTTGTCCTCATAATGCTCATGATTTACCCAGGAATATGTTAATTAACTCATTCGTTTGTATGTTTATTCATTATGGTTTACTACACGTAAAATAAACCACAGATTTCAGTAATACAAATACCCTTATTTGCCTGGCAGAATAGTGTAATATAAACACAACTGAACAGTGGAAATACAACAATATTAAAGTAGCTGGAAGAAATGGCACGTGCCAAGTGTGAGGAAAGATAAGACAAGTAGTAGACACTCTGGATATGGAGAAGTCAATTTGAACTCAGACGCTAGGGAAAAATTAAAGGAGAAGTTACAACTTGAGGCAGCCTTAAATGTATTGAGGTAAGAAGAGGACACCTATTATATAATTAATGAGAACTTCACGGCAAAGCATGTCATCCCAGCGAGGAAAATGGCCAAGCTCCATGAACAAGGCAGTCAGGGAGAACAGTTCTCTATTTACAAAGCAGAGAGTACAAATGGTGGAAAGCAGAGGATAGAGGACCACATCCTAAAGATTCCACCCTGAATATTTAAGACTCTCCATTGAGTGATATTATAGACTCAGGAGACCCAGAAAGGGGAAGTGGGCGGGGCGGGGGAGTGGTGAGGGATAAAAACTATGTATTTGTACAATGTACACTACTCAGGTGGCAGGTGCAATGAAATCTCAGACATCACAACTATACAAGTCATCCATGTTTTCACAACCACTTGATCTCCAAAAGCTATTGAAATTCAAAGGACATTTAAGAGATTAAAATGAAACACTACCATCTGATTAATTTGTTTGCTCATTAAATATCATAATACTTTTCAGTAAAAATATTCTCATTTCAATGTAACTCTCCTTCCCCGTATTTGAGCAGAGTATTGCACTATCTCTAAACACCCTCTGAATTATCTATAGTAATTTTGAAAAAAACAAAAGAAGGTTCTATGTTTGAGAATATGGCTGTATGAGAGGGGTTTGAAGAAATATCCAGTTCTTCCCAAAATGATGTACTTCCAGTGACCAGTTTTAAGATGTGGATGGAACTTTCCTAATAAGTCCTTCAAGTAATAATAAGTGATTAACCTTTTTCCTAATGATAGTATCAGTTGGGCATGATAAAAATAATATTAATAAACCTTTTGATTTAAAAATTAACCTTGAACCCACTTCTTTTTGCAGGCATGTGGGGGCTTAGCATTAAGTATTCCAATATTCATTAGGGATTTAGTGGTATACATCTATAACAAATAGTAGAAGGGAAATAATTATACCTATGTTGTTAATGTGTAACAGGATTACATTATTCTTTATTGTAGAATAATAAAATTGTATATACATATATATATATACACACACACACACACAGAGAGAGAGAAACCATCTCTTAAATTATCCGTAGCACTGTTATGTTATTCTTTACTCTCCCAATATCCCAAGTAATTTGCACATGTGATTCCTTTAGTGTGTTGAATATTCATAATGATAATACATAATATTAATAAATTGGTGAGTGCATAACTATGATTTATGCATTGCTTTACTCATGAGTTTGTCAATTCATGATAACCATCTTTTGGTGACCATGAATATGAAGCGCACAGACCTCAAAGTACAGGAAGCGTAACTGACTAAGGCCACTTGCTGCTTTGCTCTAAAATCTGTTTCTGCATCTGCTGCTCAGTAAATGAGAGCAGCAGGAGCCAATGCAGATCCCTCACTGGGAGACACAGGGCTTCTCTGAGGACCAGTCTTGGCTCAGGCTTCCCTGAAGCCTTCTCTTATGCTTCCTTAGACTGTACGTCATGCTCCAATGCTTCCACTCAACCTTACTTTCTGCTTTCCTTCACTCTGGATCAGACCCGCCTCACAGCTGAGAGCTCTTCCGGGCTTACTCAGCTTCCTCTCCATTTTCTCCCTCTCTTTTTTTTTTTTTGAGACGGAGTTTCGCTCTTGTTACCCAGGCTGGAGTGCAATGGCGCGATCTCGGCTCACTGCAACCTCCGCCTCCTGGGTTCAGGCAATTCTCCTGCCTCAGCCTCCTGAGTAGCTGGGATTACAGGCACGCACCACCGTGCCCAGCTAATTTTTTGTTTTTTTTTAGTAGAGACGGGGTTTCACCATGTTGACCAGCATGGTCTCGATCTCTTGACCTTGTGATCCACCCGCCTCAGCCTCCCAAAGTGCTGGGATTACAGACGTGAGCCACCGCGCCCGGCCTCCATTTTCTCTCATAGAGATTTCTCTTAACAAAATCCTCTTGTGTTTAACTTCTTTTCAACGTCTACCTCTTCGAGGACTTGGACTAACTCACCATATAATATTTGTATTATACTCAGGAGGCTGAGGCAGGAGAATTGCCTGAACCCAGGAAGCGGAGGTAGTGGTGAGCCAAGATTGTGCCATTGCACTCCAGCCTGGGTAACGAGAGCGAAACTCCGTCTCAAAATAATGATAATAATAATAATAACATTTGTATTCTAATTACTCCCATTCTACAAGTCGAGACTCTGAGATCTGGATAGCCTAAGTAATTTAAGTCACTCAAGTAAGCGCATACTGTATACATATAGTGTGCTGCAGGAAGTTAAACCCAGGGAACACATGCTCCAAAATACAACCACCGGTAAGTATCAACCCTGAAACCAACTAATAAACGATAAAGATACAATTAGCTTGGTAAAAAATGTTATTTTTTTCTCTAATTACATTTTCTAAGGTTTCACTGTTTATAATTAAGAAGAGAGCCAGGTGCCGTGGCTCACGCCTGTATTCGCAGCACTTTAGGAGGCCGAGGTGGGTAGATCAGAAGTCAAGAGATGGAGACCATCCTGGTCAACATGGTGAAACCCCATCTCTACTAAAAATACAAAAAATTAGCTAGGCACGGTGGCACATCCCTATAGTCCTAGCTACGTGGGAGGCTGAGGCAGGAGAACTGCTTGAACCCAGGAGGTGGAGATTGCAGTGAGCTGAGATAGCGCCATTGCACCAAAGCCTGGGTAACAAGAGTGAAACTCCTTCTCAAAAAAAAAAAAAAAAAAGAGATACGGAGCATCCAACAAGATGGCCAAATAGGAACAGCTCAGGTCCACGGTTCCCAGTGAAAGCCATGCAGAAGGCAGGTGAATTCTGCATTTCCAACTGAGGTACCAGGTTCATCTCATTTGGACTGGCTGGACACTGTATGTAGCTCAAGGAGGGAGGGCGGAAGCCGGGTGGGGCGTCACTTCACCCAGGAAACGCAAGGGGCTAGAGAACTCTTTCTCTTAGCCAAGGGAAGCCATTAGGAACCTTTCCCAACACTCTGGCACTCTCGCTCTGATACTGCACTTTTCCCGCTGCTACCATTCCTTCTGAAACTATTCCAAACAATACAAAAAGAGGGAATCCTCCCTAACTCATTTTATGAGACCAACACCATCCTGATACCAAAACCTGGCAGAGACACAACTAAAAAAAGAAAATTTCAGGCTAATATCCATGATGAACATTGATGTGAAATCCTCAGTAAAATAGTGGCAAACCAGATCCAACAGCACATCAAAAAGCTTATCCATCATGATCAAGTCAGCTTCACCACTGGGATGCAAGGCTGGTTCAACATATGCAAATCTATAAATGTAATCCAACACATAAACAGAAGCTAAGACGGAAACTGCATGATTATCTCAGTAGATGAAGAAAAGACCCTCTGCAAAATTCAACAGCCCCTTATATTAAAAACTCTCAATAAACCAGGTATCGATGGAATGTGTCTCAAAATAATAAGAGCTATCTATGACAAACCCACAGCCAATATCATACTG